TTCTTCTTTGCTATTCAGAAGAACTTCTTTCATCGTCGTACCCATGCTTATGTTCTCCTTAGTACTAAAAATATGCTTTATTCTGGAATGCCGCACTGGAAATCAAGTTTTCGAAAAGTCAGATTTTTTTTTTTTTCCAACTATCAACTATAACTCTTGAACGGTTTATCGAAGCGAAAACCTTACTATTACCTTACTAGAAATTAAACGCTAAATTGTGTGCCGAATGAGTACCCAAGCTTAATAATTTGGTTAAGTGGAAAAGTTGATAACCACTGTAAACAAATGCTGATTTTTACCAAAATTGTAAAAAAATAAGACAATAATTATAAATGGCCCTACCTGCTTGGAAATGAGTTTTCTAAGAGAACCTCATGTTTAGACCACACGATAGAAGTGAAAACTTCAACAAGACGATATTAATAATATGAAATATAAATCATAAATAATAGCTCATTATACAGTGAATGAAATGCAGAACATTTTCCTCGCTTTAAATACTCAGGTTCGATTTTTAGTTTCTGAAATATTTTAATAATCTTCAATAAAATTCGTTTCTATTGAAGATTTGTTTAGTTTTCGACACTATTTTTTCATTCTTGTCTATTTAACACGGCGTCGCCTTAAGATACAATTTTGAATAATAGTTCAGTACAAACTGGATGAAATGATGAACATTTCACTCGCTTACAATACGCTGGTCCGATTTTTAGTTTTTGAGATATTTTAATCCATATGCAAAAACACCAATTAATCCACTCCAGCAGACTTTACCTGAGTGTTACACATTGGAGATCTGAAGGCTCAATCTAATTCATTCTCCACAAAAAAAAAAGTGCAAAACGCGTCTAAAGAAGTTTTGACTTCAAAAACTTACTAAAACTTGCACAGCATCAAATTCTGCGTCCACTGAGCTACAACAGTTTTAATGAAGGTCAATTATATATCTCAAATCGGGATTTATTATTTTTTGTTATGAAGCTCGGTTTCTTGACCCCTTGTAGTAGGTCAACCTAAATATGTAGCCATCCTTGTGGCTTCGCTGAAGTCAGATAAAAATAGCATTGCGCAAGAATTTGTTTCAGTTCTTTCGTGTTGTTCCTGCTTCCCGAAATGGTAAAAACCATGTCATTATTCATGTAAATATTGCCAAATTTCTAACCAAGTTCAATAATTTTTACGTGCCTAAAACAGTTAGTTTCATATGAGAAGGAGTTGATAGGAGGGTGCGGACAAATTAATACTGAATTAAGCAAGTATAATTATTTAATTTTGCCGACGTTTCGACCCGCTTTGCAGGTCTTCTTCAGGGCTACAAAGGATACAAAACATGGTGAAAAATAAAATAAATGATTATAAGTAGATATAAAAGAAAATAAGAATAAGTTGTCTAATACAGAAATAAAATCATGATATCAGAGATATAGTGGGTGACAATGTAGTTAAAATGTCAAGTATTATATGTAGTATTAGTATTATATACAAACAAAAATGAAAAATAAGTATAAATAAAAATAGAAAATAAAGGAGAATATAGCATGTAAATTAAAAGTAAACAGATTGCGATAAAGGATAAGGAATGATTGTATAACAAACTAATAAAGATTACATGATAACTGTAAGTTAACATATGAAGAAAATGAATGTTAATGAATAAATAGATTGTAAATTGAATAAGCATTGATAAAGTAAAGCTTAAATAAGAATAAGAAAACATAATAATAAGTTATAATAAGGATAACAAGATAGTGGAGGTTACATTTGATAACTAGATAAATTGATAACGGGACTAAGGGTTAAGAAGTAAAGAAATTGAAAGATTAAAAGGATAACATTAGTGTGATATCGTTGGGATAGATTATTAAGTAAAAATAACTCTATAAGAAAACAATAATTATAAGAAGAGAAATTTAGAATATAAGCATAAGTGTAAAACAAGGTTATGATGATAAAAACAAGTTATACTATATATAGTTAGTTTCATAACTCTAGCGGATCCAGGATTTAATTTTTTTTTTGAGGGGGGCTTCAGCCCGAAAGCTTTTTTTTTATAAAAATAACGATAATTACTTCATAAAAAAAATAAATAAACTAACTACCTATATAAAATGGTGTTTCAAGTGATTCCTAAAGCCCTTTTAAATTTAATTACACGAACAATAATACTTTGAGAGATAATTTTTTTTCTATAAAACATGGTTATATTTTTCGATTTTGGGGGAGGCGAAGTTTCAGCCTGTAAGCCCCCCCTCCTCTCCTCCCTCCGTAGGTCCGCCCGTGTTTCATAACACTCCATCAGGAAAACAAACATGAGACACGAGGAAGAGACTTCTCGAAGGACACCCGGCCCTTCGTCACCTGTCCATTAGGGTGGAAGGGAGTCCTGTTCGCCCGAACCTGGGGGAATCTTTTTTATTATCCCCGGGGCAAATCCCATTGTGCTCCACTCACGTGCGTTCTCACCCACCTCCCATTGTTGTTCCGTAATAACTTAACTGTTCCTCGGTACCGGCTTACCCATTCACACCCCGCAGGAACCTAACAATCAAGTGTGAACCTATTATACAATTATATGCGATTTATTTTGTCACTTATTGTTTGCGGCATAATGCGCTCGCTATGCGGGAACTGGAATGTTTTCAATGGAGCCGCGCTGGGATCTAGAAGAGATTTATGGCGGTTGAAGAATGCAGCATCTGCCAGCGCTGGATGATATAAAACGCTTGATCTCGTTTCGTCGATGAACCTGATCAAAATTTAATGATCAATTTTTTTCTATTTCCAAAATATCCTAAGTATTTATATTCAATTATTTAATTTTTTTTTATCTCTACTGAAGGTCATGTATTATCGAACATTAATTATATAGTTAAAGGTGTCCGCAATATAGAGGCTGGGTGTACCCCAGGTGGTTCTCCTGACCCCAGGGATGACTCACTGCTGATGAAAAATTACTTGTCATCAGCCGGATTCGAACCCTGGACCTTGAGCCTACGAAATTACCGCTTGTTCTCTGAGCTACTCCGCTACATATATTTGCATTATTAATACAAAACTAATTTTCTCTCAAAGAAAATCTACTAACGATTTTTCCTACAAATAATGCGGATCAGTACGTGTCTCAGAGAGCCTAATTTCTATCTATAATAATAATATAGATTAATTAATTCCTCCACCCTTACATTAATTGAAGCCTTTTCTGGACTACGCTCTTGTATTTGTAGCTCATAAAGGAGGGTTGTAAAGAACTTTGGTGGAGCAAAAAAAAAACAACAAAAAACGTTCCCGTAATAATGCTTGCACAACATATGTATCAACTACTTTAATGATTTATATTTGTGGCGCTTAAAAATATTATTTTTTTTTTTAAACTTGTTTATTGAGAAATATTATAATCTGTCTTAGTTAAGGATACTTATTATATTTTCCAAATATCTTATCTTATGGGAATCTTTAGGCACTGATGAAGGCCTGAGCTTTGGGCCGAAACGTCGGAAAAAATAAAAATAAAAATGATTTATTTATTTTTACGTTGTATTTTTAACTGAACACCCCAACCAACTTCTCTTCAACGACACTTATAGTTGATTTCAGAGAGCACATTCACATCATATTTACAGAGACATAAATAGATAAAGTAATAAAGAAAAATACATAGAAATCAGATCAAAATAAAATATTATAATATTTTATGAAATATTATATTATAACAAAAATAAAATAAATATCTTAGATACATGTATACCTATATAAAAGTTTTTTTTATTTATTTTTTATTAAAATGTTTAGCCATCAGAATCATATCAAACGAGAGGTAAGCCATACATCAAATTTGATCATCGGCATCTATGACAAATGTTCTTAATTTGTTTTCTATTGGCATTACTGACCTTTTATTTGCCCATCTTAACCAGCCTTCACTATTTTTATCTTTCCTCGGCTATTTCTTTCCAATTATCTGCATGTAACTCTATTGCATTTTTATTGATTCGATCCATCCATCTGGTTTTTCAAATTCCATGTGATCTCTTGCGTACTTTTCATCTTCTCCCTAAAGAGGTATTCATTGTTGTATAGAGGCTTCCAAATGGATTCCTCCGTTGTACACATAAAACAGGGTCGTAATCTCCTCACCTTCATATCATGAGATATTGATTGTCCAGTTTCTTATATCAGTTCTTTACTAGTTCTTATATCAGTTCTTTACTAGTTCTCTTCTATGCGGTAGTGGTATGATCACAGATTATTCCGGTTATTTTTCAGGTTACTGTCCAGGTCTCGCAACCTGTTTTTTCGGAACTTCGATATATTTAAATACCTTTGAAAGAACCAATGTATTTATATGATTTTCATAATTTTTTCAAAATATATGTATCATGTCATAAAACTAACCAATTTTATTTATTTTTTTCTTACCTATCGTTATCTTCTGGCATATGGGGAGATGTTCCAGAGGTACAACCAATGCTATACTAACCACAGTGCGAAGGTCAATATCCATTCCTTGTGTCCGTCACGAAATAAATTTTAACGCTCCCTCGCCGGATTCGAACCGGCTTGTTTGATTAGAGAATGTTCAAGTTTACGGCTTTAACATCCTCAGTCATCTCGTCTGTGAATTAGGGGGAAAACTATATAAAAATAGAAGAAAAAAAAATGTTTTACTTAGTCTAGAAACAAACTTTCGTCGAAATTCGGGTTTCCCCTTCGTCCGCTCCTTGTATAAAAAAAAATAATAAAACACCAGAATTTTATATAAAATGAGAGTCCGATACTATTGATGTTTAGCCTCAGTTTTGATATGCGGGGAAAAAAAAGACTTCAATAGCAGCTACGATAAAAGATAACAAAGTATGGCTTCTTTGTTCTTCTTCGGCAAGCGTTAAAAGGCCCCTCGGAGAAGGGCTAGTTAGAAGAACGAATTGAGAAATCAAACGGACAATAGACTCCAGCGAACAACGCCAAATGCAGCTGGGCATGAAACGAAACACAACAGTTACATGGAATGCAGTCAGGCGCGGACTGCTCAGGAAAGGGGGTACTAAAACAGCCATCTCGCTCTTAAATATATTTAACCGTATTCGGGTCCTTTCAACATATTTATATAGTTCTTTTATTGGTCCTTTCAAAAGTATCTTAACGTGAAGTTTATTTCTGTACATATCACTGTACATAAAGACATATACTCTTTCTTATTTGTAATCCATGTACTTCATGAAGTCATTTCTTTCAGAATCAGCTCTTAACTATTATGCTAAACAGATTATATCAATATTTAGTCAAACTTAATGGTCTTTGTTTTCATTTAGGTAGTGTTCTCATTGGAATAGTCTTACAATGGCTAATTGCCGAATTTAAAAAATTTCTTCACCTAAAATATTTTTAATTTTGATCATTAGAAATAATTCGAATTCTGTCACTGCCGGTTGTAATGTAAAATGGGTAAATAGGAAATTGGAACATATATTTTTAGCATTGAAAACAAATGTTCCAAAATAATATATGTATAATATACCTCTAGGGCACTCCCTACTAGGTAGCTTAGTGGTAGGGTACTGAGCTTCCAATGCTAAAAGTCACAGGTTCGAACCCCGGCTCATGGCAGAAAATTTATTTATCTGTTTCATTGGCCGTGGGGCGACCCTGGGTCTGAAGACCCTCATGGGGCACACCCAGTCTCTATAAAGTTGGTACACTTAATTAAATAATTGATTAGGGGGAGGGAAACCTGGCGGTGATCTCGGTCAAATCACCTCCTTGCACAATCGTTGACCTAAAAACAATGCTTGCCCTAAATATTACTGAACCCAAGACCCTTCATAGGTTGTAGTGGTACAGATTTTTTAATTTTTTTAATAATATATCGTTGGGAAATTAAAAATTTAGGAAAATTAAATTTTACATATAAATTCGCAGAAGATAATCGGAAATAATGAAAAACCAATGACTTCTTAATTTTTGTACTTAATAATTTATATTTTTATTATTATTGAATGGGAATTATATTTTTCCTCAAAAACTAAACGGAATTCTCATGGAAAATAAATGAACAACTTCTATAATGTCAGTTTGTGATTTATCATGATTTAATCTAATTTTCCATAGGGAGCAGCAATTTTGTAGATTTATCAAGTGATTTTGTAAATTGAGTGAGGCTAATCTAAGGTTAAGATGTTTAGTTAATATCGTTGTATTGTCAGCTTAGGTAGCAGTCAATGTTTCTAACTTGCGAGGTATGTCATGTGTATACATAATGTGGAGTAAAGGAACCAGTATTGATCCTTGGTGTACTCCTTGAAGATATTATATATATACTTTAAATTATGATCTGTTTGAATAATGTAATGATATATTTGTTATTATAATGTACTTGTAAGGTCTTAACCTGAATTTCCTAACATTCTTGTTTGTGTTGCAGGGAGGTGATGTCGAGGGCTGCTTGGGCCGTAGCAGTGGCGGCGCTAGTGGCGCTCGCTGACCCGGGGGCGGCGCGCCGCTCGGTCACCGTCCTGCCCGAAGACGCGAGGCCTGGGTTCACGGTCCGCCGCCTCAGGCCGGCGCTGTCCCACCTCTCCTACTCCCTCGTGTCCACCCCCGTCGCCCAATACTTCGCCGTTCTCGAGGATGGCATAGTCATGACAACGGCAGATCTTGCTCCTCTACTCAACCTCCCCGTCAACCTTGGAGTCCTCGAGGAGACACCTAACACCACGTCAACGCATAGTCTTCACATGTATGTCCTAGAGCGACGGGATATGTTGAGGTTTTCAGACTCAGTCATAGAAGGAGCTAAGATTAAAGAGAACGCTCCTCCTGGGACGAGGGTGTCACTTCCCCCGATCAAACTGGAAGGAAAAGGTACAGGAGGTCCCATTAAATATACAATAATATCTGGAGATCACGGTGCCTTTGAAATATTGAAAAACGAAACGTTAGGCTTAGTGACAACGAGACCTCTAGACAGGGAACATAGACCTTCCTATAGGTTAGGACTTCAGGCTAGTGATGCGAGAGGAATCGACAGGGCAAATGTGAAATTATTCGTGGAAGTCGAAGACGTCAATGATAACAGCCCTCAATTCGACGATAAGGTCTATAGGTTTTCGCTGGGGAAGATAAATGGCACAGAGTGGCAGAGATTCGCGAAATTAGGAAAAGTTCATGCAACAGATGCCGACGGTGATAAAGTGGCCTACAGGTTAGCGACCCATACCAGTATGGCGATTATAGTTCCTCAGACTGGTGAAATATTGCTCACGGGCGATCCTGCCCTCAATACCGAATACCAATTGACAGTGATTGCGCACGATCTGCGAGTGCCCTCCAGGGAGTCCAAGCCTTCGAGGGTCTTTCTAGAGTTCAATGAAGAAGAAGAGAACTCTATTCACAGGATAGAAAAGAGGAGAGTTACCAGGGCAGTGAGACCTACCAAGAGAATAGAATTTACCGAAAGTGATGGTGAGCAAGAAGGAAAAATAGTCTTCCAACTCGAAAAGGAAACGGAAAGGGAAACTTTCAAGATCAGGGACGAGAATCCGTGGGTGGCGGTTGAACCGAACGGTGCGGTGCGAGTCAAGAAGAAGTGGGACTACGAAGAACTGGGGCCTGAGAAGACTATCGACTTCTGGGTTACCATCACCAACGCTGGAGTAGGAGGTGAGTCATTTGTAATTTGTTATTCATATATTATACAATTTAAAATTATAATACAGATAAATGTAAGCACATGTGAAGGCAAAAAAATAAATAAATAAATAAAATAGGGCTAAAGGCTCCTGCAATTAAAGTTTTATTTTGTTTGTTTATTTTTAACAAGCGTTCAAGGACCAATTGAACACCAGCTTATTTAGATTATTTCGTTTTCTTCCAAAGTAATTACCATTTAAAATAAAAAAATAACAAGAATATCGGTTTCAGGCCAGGATGTGCAATATCTTTTTAAATATTTATAGCGTACTCCAAAAAATAAGCAAAAACAGCTGTTATGGAATATAAAGTGAAGATACTCACAGATTGATCTAGTTTCTCGGCTAGTTACAAAATTAAATAAATAATACTTTAATTAGGACGTATTTATAAAGGATTTCAAATGTTAGCAATAGATAATCAAATAAATATCAGCCAACTTATGTCATTGATTGAATTAAGGTTAACACGACCAAAAAGTAGAAAGAAATATTTTTTACTTAGGAAAAAAAAAAAACCAAAATATGCTGTCTTGTACAGATTACCGCTTACGGTAACTTTTTCCTTTGCTCCACTCTGGCCCCGGCTCTGCAATACTAAATGAAGAAAACATAATATTCCTTTTAGTAGACGTCATTGAGAAAACAAAATAATTTCTACAGCAGTGGATGAAGTAATACTAATAGCGTACCAAACGTATACTTAAAAATTCAGTCTGTTATCCACATAAGAATTTTGAGAATAGTCATCATTTATATATGTTTATGTATAAATAAATACATAATATTTATTTATGTTGATATTTATTTATTGGAAGAAATCATTCATACAATGATTTCAAATAAAGTGAATATTTCAGATATTATATATGTTTTAATTAATTTCGTTCTAATACATAATCCACTGTAAAATATACTTTTGGTTGATAAAAAATTAACTTTATATGCGTTTTATTTTATATAGAAACGTCACATTCTATTTCTAACCTTTTTTTCAAGGCTTTCCATTGATGATAACTGAACCAGAAGATTATTGTCGGTTAAAAATTATAGTCGCTATTCCTATTCATAACCACCTCTGACACTTTTTTGTATATTTGTTCCGTATTGCCAAATGCTGCCCAATGATTCAATATAACATTGCACGAGTTGATGGTAGTTATGTTAATTATCTTTATTTTTAAATTAAATACGTTCTACAGAACTTACATATTAAAATAACTATTCACCATTTTGGGTTGGTATTATAAGCTGTAAATGTTCTTGCGTAAAACTTTTCCTCATGCGAAAGTATTTGAGGTTTTCTTTTGTATATGTTTATTCCGAGCTCCTTTCAAGGTGTTTGTTATGATAAGCGGTCATTCTTTTTCTCCTGTCTCTTCAATTCTAATAAATATTTATACCTTTAGGAAGAGTGCCTTTTTTACTGCTACAAAGCGCTGTCTTAGACCTTTTTCGTATGGAAATTTTTCTTGAGTTACAAGATGTCTTAATATATACACCCACAGATATATGTATATAGATGTATATAATTATTAATTGTAAGTAAAGCGATTTTACATTTATTTATATAAATGTAAAATCCCTTCACTTACAATTAATAATTGGGACTGACTACTGTTCTAAGTAAAACTCCTAGCTGAACACGCATCTCTGAAGAAAACCTGCGGGTGAAAACGAGAAAGCACAAAAAAGTGGGGTCGAAAAGTTGGTTTTTTAAAATTTATTTATTGAGTATTTCAACAATCTGTCTCTTGGACATTAGTTACAGTGAGGTAGGATAACATTCACACCATATGTACAAAAATATAAAATAAATGAAGCAAAATAATAATCAAAATTATATGCAATAAATAATAAAATAAAATAACCTAGCAAATAAAATAACCTAAAACCTTATAATAAAATAGTATTATTATCCACTATTCAGCCTATTTATGACCGCCACCCCTATTTAGGACCATCTCGTTTCTTAATAATTATATACATTTTTAAAAAATTTAATCAGAAACAAAACCTAGAAATTATAATATTTTTATTTTAAATTTAGAAATTTACAAATGTATTTAGAACTATACTGTATCTAATTTTTTTTTTTATAATTTCTTATAAACAATGTAGCCAGGTAAAAACCTAACTAATTGGATATGCAATTTTTCCTAAATTTTAACACACCATTTATTTTAAAACATTTTGTACCAAAAACTATAATGCAAATTGAAGAAAAACAGTAATTATCCTGGGACTCACTTCAACTTCGAACATTATAAGAATAAACTACCATAACAATAAGAATGAGGACTTGAAGCGGGAAAACACTTTATAGTGGCGTTAGTTTTCGACTCTTTTGGAACTGCAACTTTTTTCAATTAAAGCTTTTTATAAAAATTTTATTTTTAAAAACATTTATTAAAAGTAGATCATCGACTTCGCTGACAAGTAGATCTGAAAAATTACTTTTATTCATAGTTACTCAAACGACACATTAGAACATGCGTAATTCATTTAAGAAAAATTATAGTCCTTATGCAAACCCAATCACTGTTTATTTTCCATTTAACGGAACTTTTTATTAAGAACTTGAATAAATATAAGTTAATCTTTTACCATAAACCTAGATGTTTGTTACAAAAAAGTTCCTTAGAAATTCAATTTCAAGATTTTCTTTTCTAAAACCTTTTGTAGAAAATGTTAAAATAGAACTTTAAAAAAAAAAGTCCATAAATGTTTCAATCCCTGATATGAATCGTTAAAAGAAAAATAAATCTTTTTTATATAATATATAGGTGAAAACCAATAATATAATGTATTTATATTATTCTAAAACTATTCCCAACTATTCTTCTCTTCATTATCCACGACAGTCAACCATTCACCAATTATAATGTATTTCATTTATAATAATATGTAGGTACGGTTACTTACAATATTTAAGTTTAAATAAAAATGTAAAACTTTTTTATCATTAAGTGTTTATTTTTTAAAAGTTTTAATATTTACTATGCTCTTAATTTAAATGCTATTGAATGCTATTTATCCTATTGAAGTACTATAACCAACAATAATAAATATTTTGCTAGAAAGATAGTACTTCAATAGGATAAATTAATTAAAATCAGTTCGTTAATGAAGTTTTAATATGAAATCATCTAGTCCAGGTGGACTGGAACAGGACGTCCCTTTTTCTGGCAGCCGAAGGATGGAGTGTGGCTATGAAACTGACACGACCCGCCTTAATGATAGTTCGTAATGACGGGTCTAAGTAAAGAAAATGTCCTGCATTGATTTGTGTTCCATGTTCCTCGATCGCTCCCCCAGACAAGAAGGGAACAAAATGAAATCGTGCCGTTCTGTCTGTCACGAAATCCGACTTAAAAGGAAGAGGACGGTAAACCTAAAGCGGAATTTTTAGACTGTTACTGTTAGTTTTTACCATTTTTGGTAAATCGCGTAATGCACGCCTTAAACAAAGAGTTTATACACAACCAAACAAAGTTTTTGGTATTTACTCTTATTCAGTTAATCTAATTTGCTTCTATGAATTATTAAAAGAAAAAATATAGCGTGAATTTTATAATTGATTTGTTTTTTTAATTTTCTGTATTATCAAAAAATGTCAAATTTTAATCATACAAACGTTTTTTTCAAGAGTATGGGTAAACTGCAATGCCTTATGGATAGTACAATGATAATTATGCAATGACAGAAAGATATTTGCTTTTGTTACTCTATTAATTTGAAAACGTTATCTTTCCTTACTATTCCGTGTTTGGAGTGGCTGTGGTGTATTGTACTATCAACATTTCTTATTTTCCAAGACGAAAATAGCTATACACCCCTTTATTGGGCCAAGTCTCTTGTAATTGATAATTCAATTTAAACAATGTCGAACGTGATAACGATGGATGGCCGTAAACCCGTGAATGAAAATAGTAATCGCTTTTTGTAGGGTATGTTAAAATCCACGCTACTGGAACAAATCACACCGACTGGGTATAAATATTCGACTGATGATCTATCCTCGAGTACTGCATTAAAGAATCGCTATGTGACTTTCCAAAACGTAACTACCCAAAGATAAGGTCCATGAACGATCTTCGGGAACATACTTGTATTGATCCTCGTAAGTCTGCTGAATCAAAATAGCCTTAACCTTTGGATCTATACCGATTTGCCACTTTCCTTGAGTTTAAGGAAAGGATACTGCCAAATTGTTCCGAAAGGGAGTTTGTTTGTTTTTGTTTAGTGGCGTAAAACCTCAGTGGTCATCAACGGGATTTTGTCTGTTTAATTTATTATCTGATGTATATTTTAATATTTACACAATGCGCCCGCACACACAAACACACATTCACATACAATTATATACAAATTAGTTTGTTTTTCCTTATTCTCGTAATCTACTGTCGGTTGTGTTTCATTATTCAAATGTCATGTTATTTAGTTTTTAAAATTTTAACGCCATTTCTACTGTTTTATTATCATCTCTGAGAATTGTTTATACTTAGGTAGATGGATAGTTGAGCGATAAAGAATGACCATTCCTGGAAAATGTGACTGATCGTCATGCTGTCATTACAATATTTATATTTGGGTGGCTCTTTCTTTGTGATAATGTAGGAGTGAGTCAGTCTCGTGTCTCCTAGTCTGAGTCTAGGCAGTACGACCTCCTCTCTCCGACATTAACGTCTGGAAGTATCCCAGGGTTTCACTTTCTTTTTTTTATAATTTTTAACTTGCTGGGAGGACTTTCAACCCACATAGACTGCTAACCAGTCTTTAATTTCCATTTCGAGGGATTTGATTTAATCTGATATATTATGGAGTTATGGATGTCCTGTCGATGGACCATAGAAACCATGGTTCGTAGGATGTTACTTCTTCCAGACTATTTGTACTCTCGTAAGATATATGTGTCTGTAAAGGTAGGCCCTAATCGACACAGGATAACACGATTGGTCTTCGGCGATAAACGCTTACTCAGAAAATAAAATTAAATAAACAGTATACAAAGTTAAAATTAATAATTATTACCTTATTATTCGCACTTAAAAATTGTAGCTACTTAGTAAAGAGTTGATGGGAAAAAGAAAATAAATGATAAAGGAATAAATATTAACTTGCAGTTCGTGTTCGTCATATATGTTATTACACCATTTTGGTTAAATTGCTTCAATTGAATCAATTGGTTAAATTGAGTAAAAAGAATACTAATTTGGTACTATAAATGGTCATTTTCACAATATGTTCGGCTGATCTTTTTCTTATCTAGATCGAAGAAAAAAAAACGAAAAAAAAAACCACCTTATTTAATATAATAGATCTAAACATGCGTACAACTCCTTGACTTTTAACATTGACTACTCATTTGACACAGAATTTACTAGTTACTAGTAAATTATTAGAAATAAAATAGTTTTTCCACTATTTTAGCTTCTATATCACCTCCACCCCGGATGATCTCCTTCCTCTAAAATATACAACGGTCAACCATTAAGTATTCAATATTAATAATGTATTCGTTATGTCCATTAATAAACCCAAACACCCTAAAAAATATTTTATATTCGTATGCTAAAAGAAAGTAATTTCATATTGTATAATATCTTTTGTTATCAAAACAATAGACAGACACACAGGGTTGATTTATTTTTTTATTGCTTGTTTAGTTTTTTAATTATTTTTGGATTAAATTTTACTACACTTGAATGAATAATAGCTTTAATAAAATCTAAAAACTTGTCATATATGTTTTATAATTTTTTCATTGTCTAAGAACTTCATAACTTTGGTAATGATTTCTTCTTGATTTCCCAGGGATGCTGATATATTCTGGGGTATTCCGACATATTTTAACCTTGCGGTGTAAAAAGGGCACTCTTCCAAAACATGTTTTATAATTAATGACTGGTGACACTTTAGACATCTGCGGATAAGATTTGTTATGAGGCGGAGGTGTGTCAGTCTAGTATGTCCGATCCTCAGCCGCGTGAGGACGACCTCTTCTCTACGACTGCTTCGTTTGGAGCTGGTCCACGGTTGTACCCCTTTCTTTATTTTCTTTAATTTGCTAGGTGCGCTGTTGTCCCACCTTCTTTACCATTCTTGGGGTATGGTTTCTGTTAGAGATCGTGCAAGTTCAGATGGTGTCAAAAAAACTTTACCGCGGCCTGGAAGGGTAAGAGCTTCTAGGTGCTAACGTGTACGCATTGAAATGTTTTTGTATTTCTTTAAGTTGATAGTTAGCTATTCAATGCAGAAATAAAATTATAATACAATAAAACCCAAGTGTAATGAATTCTAAACGATATTAATGTCATAATTATTTTCTTGGATGGCAATTTACTTATAATTCGTGATTGATACACAATGTAATGGGGGAAAATACCATACTTAAAATAGTAACTTTATCATTTTTATCAGAATGGAAATTAAAATCTGACGTCGACAGATATTTATTGTTGTTTTTGCATTATATCATTAATTGGTGCATGAGGAAAAAAAAGGTTTGATTAGAAGATTTATTTTTAATTGATTATGTTTCTGCTACAAACCTGCTCCTATTTCTGATTTATTTACTCAACTTATAATTTATTTTCTTCATACTCATTATTTCTTAATTAGTTTGACGTAAACGATGAAAGAATAATTGAAAGGAGTAGTCGAACGATGTAAATAAATAATCGAGAGAAACGGAGGTCACAGAGCTGGAGATCAATTATAAATTTTATTGATCAATTTTATTTTTAGATTGTATTTACACATGGACAGAGTATATATATTCATTTTATTGTTTACTCTATGTATTATACTTCCATAAACTTAATTAATGAAGTTTAATTTTCAAACCTACAAACTACAAGTGTTATTCTATTTGTATAAAAAGATTTGTTTAATCATTTTATTATTGTTTATGCCATTTTAATTATGAAGTTATACCTTCGATTTAAATACAATTATAGGGTTTATTCAAAATATAATTGTTTCATTTATTTGTTCAGGATATTTGAATTGAACATATAATGTGAACTTGATGTAATAGTCGGGAGCCTACACTACACATTACGACTCCTGGAAAGTAGATTTCGTTCCATGTAGTTAGTCCGAGAGTCCGTGAGAAAAAATCGACATTGTTTGATAAAATCTTTAAAAGCACTTTTTTTGAATATTTATAATAATTATATTAAAAAATGAGAGTCTGCCAGAAAAAAATCTTAAAATTAAACTTGTAGAGCATCAAATTACGCGTCCATTGAGTACTAACAGCGTTAATGTACGTAACTTACTACCATATGCATCATAGGACCAATCAATACCATTTGTTTACTTTTCGAGTTATATATAAAAAAAAAATATATTTGAACCAACTTTATTCTTGGCAAGTGCAAAAATGAAATAGAAATATCTTATCGGACATGATCCTTTTCGATTTTAATGTTGTTTTTTTTACTTTTTGTGGGAAATTGAGGAAGATTTCAAGTCCTCATAGGTTCAATGAACCAAATTATTCAATAAACCTTCTTGAATTATTCGCAAGTAAAATTCTGAACCATCGTAACTTTTTTTCCAGTCTCTTTTCGGGGAAGTGTGTTATATACGTAAATTAAAAGGGCTTTAAAATTCCAAAGCAATCGGTGAAGAACTTTACGAGATTAGCGGTTTTGGAAAAAAATTCTCATTTTTATACACACTGTTTCCAATTTTTGTTTTATAACACTAAACTTGTCAATATCCTACTAAACTGAGGATGAAAAACTGAGGATAAAAATGTACTGAACTATTTTATCTTTGCCTATTGATATAATGATCATTTAAATACAAATGTTGGTAATTAACTGAGCTGTAATTTGTTTTCGAGTTTCATATATATTGTTGCCCAAAATCGGTCTTGGTCTTGCACTTTGCAAGTTATTAAAAAAAATTGTCACACCTCGTTTAAATAGCACCTATTAAAAATTAATTTTAATCCTTAATCGTTCAATTTTTAATCCTTCCATAATAAACTTGTTTAACATCCAAACCCTCTTGTTTCTAACCTTGCTTCCTCTTCTATTCATGATAACTAATGTTGCCCAAAATCGGTCTTGGTCTTGCACTTCGCGAGACCAAGGCCAAGGCCGACTAACTGTTTCAAGATCAAGACCAAGACTGGTAAAAAACTCGATTTTTAAATAAAAATGAAGGCAAAATAGTTATTGATTACATTATAAGTTATTAGTTAATACATGACAATCTTAGTTACTATATGTT